CTAGCCCTGAAGTCGCACGACCGAGTACGAGTGGAGGAGGACTAGGAGCCTTGTTTGGAGGAAAGAAGCGCGAGACGAAGGTGCTGGATGATCCGATCCAAGCCTCACCACCACAGATACACACAGGGCAAGAAACAAAATCCACACCTTCACTGAGATCCGTCGCCCCGAAGCGCATCGTCACATCGCTCCCTGCGACGCCCCCCAATCTATCTGATGCACCCACCACCTTCATAACACCACCCACCCCGACCGATCCGAAGCCTTCCTCCCCGACCGAATCCACCAGCTCCAAGAACACTGTGAAGCACGACAAAACCAACTCGAATCCCAACGTAGTCGTCTCCCCTTCGGGGAACATGATATCGCACCGACGCGCGCGATCAGCCACAAATCCCCCGAGCAAGCTATCACATTCATCAATACCACCTCTGACTCCTCACCTCGAGGAAGCCAAGACCCCTGGAGGGACTGCTGTACTTCCATCATCTCCTGGCGGGCCTGGTGGATTCTTCGCTTCCATCTTCTCTGCCGCGCAGAACGCTGCCAACAACTTGGGTGACACCATTGCGAACAACACAAACATCAAGAACAAGCCCAACCAGCAACAGCAAAAGGAAGACGACGATACTCCAGACGGTGGTGAAGAGGTTATCGGCCCCGACAACGCAGACACAAACGCGAGTGAAGGCGCCGAGAAGCGAAGACCTGCCATTGAAACACTGGGATCTGGCAACTTGAGCTTAGCCCAACTTGGAATCGCCGAGAGCAACGACGTCAGCCCAATGTCTTCTGCAACCAGCGTCACCATGAAGGCTGATGAAGCATCGGCCCAGGTCGAGGACCGAGCTGCTGCTCAGGCCGTCTCAGCCGCGTACGCAGGAGAGAAGCCTCCATCAATAGCTAGCGAACGCCCAAGATCGTTGACCGCTGTCTCTGGTCAGTCAGGGACGGGCGCAGCGTCTCCCCCACGGCAGCCTGAGATAACCGACTCGCCAGCGTCGATTCAGCGTCAAGGCAGCATACGCAGTCGTATAAGCGGTGGCAGACGGAGACGGCATAGGGGCAGCTCCGCTACTACTGGTAATACTCTGGGTGGTGTCATCAGTGCAAGTACAAGTACATTGGCGCCGAGCGCAGCATTGAACAGTCACCGTCTGAACGGAACTGGGTTCGCAGTTGCACCTCCTAGGCGAAACAAGGATTTTCACGCACTTTTCAAAAGCGTGCCCGAGGATGACTATCTGATCGAGGACTATAGTGCAGCCCTCCAGAAAGAGATCCTGCTCCATGGACGTTTGTATGTTTCCGAAGGGCATCTTTGCTTCTCCAGTAACATCCTTGGATGGGTCACAAACTTGGTCATCAGCTTTGATGAAGTCGTGTCCGTCGAGAAAAAGTCCACAGCTGTCCTGTTCCCAAACGCCATCGTCATACAGACACTTCACGCTCGCAACGTGTTCGCGTCATTCCTGTCACGAGACTCTACCTACGACTTAATCATCGGCATCTGGAAAATCTCGCACCCTAATCTCAAATCATCCCTCAACGGTGTAACGCTGGACGGTTCCGGTGGCACCGGTGACAAGACTGAGAAAGCGGAATCCATCGGTAGTGAAGACGGCTCTATCCAGGATTCGGATGATGAGGTATACGACGAAGACGCGGATGACGACGAAGGCACTGGCAGTTTCACCGAACCCGGCGAAGGTAGTATCGCTGGTAGCGAAGTTGGCTCTGTGGCAGGTGAGACCACCCGAAAAGTGAGCGGCGCGGTGTCACAAGCCTTTGGCGGAGGTGGCGAGACGGCTGAGGCTGCGAAAGTCGCCACGAATGGCACTGCCGCTGCTGGACAAGATTTTCCTGGCTCAACAGCACATGGACCCACTGAGTGTGGTGACAGCGACCAGCATTATGACAAGTTACTTATCGACACAACAATTCCTGCACCCCTCGGCAAGGTCTATAGCTTGATGTTCGGTCCAGCTTCTGGTGTGTTCATGCGCAAATGGCTCGTGGAGGACCAAAAGTCCTTGGACTTGCAAATGGAAGACGACAAGAAGGGCCTGGGCGAAGATATGAAGACTTTCAACTATTCTTACATCAAGCCGCTCAACGCACCCGTTGGACCGCGGCAGACAAAGTGTAACATCGCCATGAATCTGGAGCAGTACGATTTGGACAAGGCCGTAAGCGTGCTTTGCAGCACAGCGACTCCGGATGTACCCAACGGCAGCATATTCCTCACAAAGACAAGGTATTGTCTGATGTGGGGCCCAGGGAACAGTACGCGGCTCATCATGACCTTCACGGTGGAGTGGAGTGGAAAGAGTTGGTTGAAGGGTAAGTTGTATCTGCCTCGACGCAGAATACATGTTAACATTTCCAGGTCCTATCGAGAAAGGCGCGAATGACGGTCAAATGTCGTACGCTACCTCCCTTACAGCCGCTCTCCGCACTGCCGTGAGTGCGGCGAAAGCCGGTCCGGCTCGCGTACCCGGAAAGGGCGGAAAGGGCAAGAGGCGGTCCAAGGGCAATCTTCTGGATGAAGCGCCCATGCCTGCCACCGCTCCCGTCCCCACTAGTCAGGCAAAGCAGAGCAATTGGGGGCTACTGGAGCCTTTGCGCAGTCTCCTTGGGCCGTTTGCTGATATCCTGGAATCTATCTTCACTCCGCAAGTCATCATCGTCATCCTCGGAGCGCTTCTGATGTACACCTGGATGTTCCGAGGTACATCAACGGCAACTGGTCCGAACCAATGGTCGACGGCTCAACGTCAGGTGGCGTACGAGGAGATTTGGCGCCACGAGGAGTCAGATCTCTGGAACTGGCTCGAAGAGCGAGTTGCTTTGGACAGAGTGCATAGCTCAGTCCGAGGGGCACACATTCAACCGGAAGACGGCACGCAGAAGCCTCTAGCACCGCACGACATGCAGGCGCGGGAGATGGACGAAGCGATTCGTGTGACCGAGGAACGATTAAAGGCGTTGAAAGACGCCGTGACTCGCAAACGCTCCAAGTCTCGTACGAAAAGTGCAAAAGAGCAACAAACGTAGCTCAGAGACACCGGACAATTATAAGCGGCCCTCGGAAAGGGTCACGCGAGTGACACACTCCACGGCTTGCAGCACGCCCATGAGTCGTGAAGCTCGAACTGTAAACATACGCAAGACTTGCATGGCGATGGCGTCTACTCTTTCCCTTTGTGATTAGCTTGGCGTTTGGTGCGTTGGGGCCCGGGTGGGCTTGTATGGCGTACACCTGTCATACCATGGCGTTCAGCCGCATTGTTTCGTTTGTGTTTCGCACTGTCGTATCAAGGTCAGGAGAGGTTTTGTAAACTCCGTTCGTCTTTGCACAAGGATTTCTTTATTTCATGCAGCCTGCACTGTTCTGGCAAACTGTTGTTATAAAACTCGTTTCTCAATCAGATAAACATTGGCTCGTACACTTCCAGAACCAGATGGTCCCACGGCATTCGCCACTCGTGCTGAATCTAAAACGGTCTACTGACGCGATGAACAGTTATTAGACTGGCGATCTACGGCGTGCCTTGAACCGTTGTTAAAGTTTGGTGACCTGCAGCGGTGATCGCCGGTGCTTGCATTAGCGCGGTCTAGGCGATGCGCTGCACGATCTATTCGATCATTGATCATCCAGATCTTCATGGATTTCTTCATCTCTTCAGTTCTCGTGTGCGCAAAATCGTGAACACGAGAGCAATTAAAGTTCGTTCAAGTCGCTGACGACTTACGATGTTGCGCTTTAACTTTGACAGCTGCCTCCCTGAACGGCAAGCAAGCCGAGAAGACGCACGTTCCTCGAGCGAATCTGGATACCACGTGTGCTGGTGCAATACTTGGAAGCTGCGTCTAGCGCTACATCCCGTTCTTGTCTATTCATCGTTCACTTCTCCACGACTCAGTCCCCCACAGAATACGTAGCCACCGTGCGACCCTCTCATTTCCCCGGTTGGGGAGTCAACAGTTCCAATATCGGTGCCGTCGGTTGCAGGTTCACGCCACACGATCCGGCCGAGCGTCGCTTCTCCGAACAGACCGCAAACTCTGGGTAAACTCAATTGCATGGGAAGACGTGACCATCGGATACCAGTTTCCTAAACAAGTTGGTCTGAGGGTCCTTTTGAGTTAGACGATGCTCCGGATCCGCACCGTTGACGAACGGCCGCGGTCCCCCGAAGATGCAGCGACCTACTGTTTGGTACCTGACTCTGCCTTAGTTTGCTCCGCCGCCGCCACTGCAGCTGTTGACGGTTTTGCGATGGGATAGCTAAACTTTGTAAGAAGAATTGGCGTGGCATGGCATGATCGATGGAGGGTCTGGCTGACGTGGAGAACAGCAAAGGGTTTGCCGCGGTTGAGCTAATAGAGTTTCAGTAACAGGCGTGGGATGGCTGAGAAACGTTCTTCAACTACGTCTATTTACTTTTGCGTCGGACCCTTCATTCTGATACTCGAGATCTCTTCGTTTTCCAGTATATGGCGTGGCCACACTGTATGCGAAACATCCGGAAATTCCGGTGCTGACATCTAATTTCGGATTACGATTCCACTTCGTTTTTTCTATCACACTCTAGTCGCGGGTTTCTTCCTCCATACGTCCAACATGGCATACAGCCCTAATGGAAAAGGATCGAGCGGTCTCCTTCCTCCCGTCGCAGTCTTTTCAGCATGGCCGCTTCCGAATTACGAAGATCCCGTCACGCGTTCTAAAGCCGTTCTCATTACATCATGTACTCTGGGATCCATTATGCTTGCTGTAGTGGGAGCAAGACTATGGGCAAGAGCTGTCATACAAAGGAACTCGGGTGTCGATGACTGGATCATGTTGGCTGCAATGGTATGAGCATCCCACAGTGACTGAAACTGTGTGTGCGAAGACTAACAAACTGATCCAAGGTCCCAACAATTGGACTGACAGTCACCGCATGTCTTGGTATGTTGCCACTCACGCGAAACCTTGTCATATCAGTCTACTAATGACCATATTAGCAACTGAACGCTATAATTTCAATCGACACATCTGGGACGTTCATCCCTCCAAGTACGTCCCAGAACGCCAAGTCACCTTCGCGCTCTACGCTTTGTACATTGTGGCAGGAGGGATGATCAAGATATCCATCCTGCTCTTCTACCGCCGTCTCGACTCACGCTCCATAACGAAGAGTTTCCGCATCGCAACATGGCTAAACATCGTTGCCATCGCCATCTTCTCCATCGCATTCGTCATCGTCCTCTTCACAGCCTGCACACCGTTTACCGCATTCTGGTATCAATTCGATATCACTAAGCAGCTCACAGGATACGCATACCGTTGCTGGATCGATGAAGCGGCAGACCTTCTATCAGCGAGTATAATAAGCGCTGTACAAGACGCCATCGCTGCTTTCCTTCCCACAATCCTCTACTGGAACCTACGCATCCCGCCTCGCCAAAAGGTTGCTCTGGGCGCCATCTTCGCTCTCGGTTACCTCGTCTGCATCGTCGCAGGCGTACGCTCCTACTTCGTGTGGCGCACCTTCAACAGCCCCCTGTACGATTCGACCTGGGAGTCCTGGCCTGCATGGCTGCTCTGCGTGCTGGAAATTCAACTCGGCGCCATCTGCGCGAGTGCGCCTGCCCTCAAAGTCTTCCTGTCGCACTACTTCAAGGTGGCAACGAGTATGTACAGCGGATCTAATCAAGGCACGACGCATGCCAGCATCCAGAAGGGTGGTGGTGGTACCTGGTGGAAGTCGGCAAGTTCAGGTACGTCGGGGTCAAGAGGGACCATGGCTTCGAGGCTGGATAGAGATGGGTATATTCGGGAGCCAGGAAATGCGCATATGGTCGATGAAGAGGGCGGCATTGTGCTACAGGATACGAAGAGGTGTGATGGACGGACAGAGAGTATCGAGACTTTCATCTACCTATGAGAGGGTTTGCAACAAGGAGCTATCGAGAAGACAGCCGACTCGAAGCACCACAAAGATATCACCATACGCACCCATCACGACAGGGCTGGCATGGGAATACCGTCATGCTATTGGAATCGGGGACATCGTATCGCAGCCTACCCTGACGATCTGGAGCTACGCAATAGCCTCCAACGGGATTTGTCGCCTGCCGTACGACTGACGCTATTGAGTATCAACAGACGTCCCTCCATCAACACGCGTCGTTCTCCGCGGGTGGAAAGCAAAGGGAAAGGGAAAGGATTCACGAGAACAGGATGGCAGGGACCATAGTGCCGGACAAACACAACCAACGGGCGTGTGATCGAAAGGACGACCGAAGCGCGAACAAAAGCACCTGTATCGACACAAGAGCAACGCCAGGGCTACCAGAGTAGACGATGACAAGTAGTTTTGTAACACGTAAATAACATAGGGACGAATTACCATTATTCTACAAGCAATGCATTGAAGGGCATTATACGAAACACACCGTCTTTTCTACCATCAATCCTTACGTCGAAGCCCAAAGACGGACTTTTTAAAACTCTCCCCGTCATCAACAACACATATACAACTCCTCAGCGTCTCCCCAGTACTTCCTCCGTCCTTCTAACCCTCTTCTCCAAAACCTTACCATCCTTCCACTTCCTCGCCAATTTCGCCTCCCTCCGCTGAAGTAACCTCTCCTTCTCCTCTATCTCCCTCTCTCTCCTCTCCACAGCACTCTCTCTATCCTCCAAGGCACTTTCGCGCTGCGTCAACGCCCGCTGCTGCTCTTCCACCTCCATCTCTCGGTTCATAACGGCGATCTCGCGGTCACGAATATCCGGTACGAGGAGTGGAGTATCGAGTATCCTGTTATAGTTGGCCAGGTTTCTGCCTGCGAGGGGCTTGGATGCTGCGAGCGAGTCAGTAGGTTGTTACCAGGGAGTTGGTGAAGGAAAGGAACAATGGTTCATGTCATGTGTTGGACGTACAATCAAGTGGAGTAACAGGCGCACCAGCCATGAATCCAGTGTTGTAGTGTGCATATGCGCAGTCGATATCTCGTTTGTTGCATCGTCCGTTTTGGTGCCAGAAGAAACAGGTTAGAGGTTGGGGGAAGTTCTTGGGCAGGGAGACATCGAGTTTGGTGGGCGTGTCGTCGGTCGAGGAGTGTTGACTTGAGTGTCGGCGTGTGTAGTGGAAGCCTGAGGTTGACGGGGCACTTCGGAAGGGTAGGTTATTGCTGAGTGTTGAAGAAGAGCGTGGTGCGTCGGTCCTGCGTCGGTACGCATTGTCGCGATCAGGTACGTATCGGTCAATCATATGGGCCTGCATATCGCTTGGTTGGAGAGTCGAACTGCTATTTGTTTTTGACTTGGAAGAGGGTGAGACGAGTTCAATTTGGGGTGCGATATCGTCCGTTTGTTTGTTGCCGTGCAGAAGAGCACTGACCCTGACGGGCGTTTGCATACAACCTGACCTGTCATATTATCGAGCGTACTGCGTCAGTGTTGCTATTCGTACACTGGATGGATACTTCCAGAGGCTATTGAAGGCGTAACATGAATCATTTTGACTGGGGGTATCATATCCCTACAGCTTACTCTCCCGCACGTGTCGCTCTTCAACAGGTAGCGCACCACTCATCATGTCCAACTGTTCCTCTCTTCCGTAGAGTACTCGCTCTCTGCCGCCCCTTGTCGTCCACCAATTCACAGCAACACCACTACGCTCTGCATCCATCTCGCCGCTGACTAACACCTCCCAGTATCGCGCTTTGACATTCTCCCGCATTTCATCGTCATGGATCTGATTGAGTAGTTCGGCACATAGAGGCAGCCACTCCTCCAGCAGGTATATAGGAAGGAAAGGCAAGGCATCTATGAGTGTCAAAGCGAGCACTGCTTGTTCCGAAAGGGCGGGCGGTGGTGCGTCTGAGCCTTGTAGAGCCAAAGCGACCGAATCAGGTGGTAGTGGCTGCGAAGGGGCGTTGAGAGCGCGATGGTATACGAGCTCTAGGAGCGTGGCTGGGAGATCGGGATGGGTTGCCGATAAGGTGGAAGGAGGAGCTGTGACACGCATCAAGGTCTTGAAAGCTAGACGGAACTGGCGCGGGGACAGGTTGTGAGGGAAAACACTGAACAGAGCGTCGATGTAGAAGGGCAGGTGTTTTGCTGTGATCTCGGCAGATTGTGGAGCAGATAGCACAGCAAGCATGACACTATGGGCAGCTTCGAACACTGGCAGCATGTGGCGGTTCTCACCAGCCGCAAGGTAGGGTACCGCCGACGCGACAAGCAAATCCTCGTTTGTGGCTGGCGACAATATCAGAGTGAAATGCTCTGCTGTGTTGAGAAAGTAGAGGTCCAGTATGCGGTCAAGTGGGTGGCTTGGTATTTGGCCAAGGTGCTGAGGCGCAATGGTTTTGAGGAGCTTATCGGCGTGGTTGGGGTAGGCGGAGAGAATGTCTATCGCTGTAAGATAGACAAATGTATGCTGGGAAAAGGACGCTGGGCCGAGTCGAGAAGTGATGAAGTATAGGTGCCGCAGGGTTTGTAGGGCTTGTGATGCTAGCATGGGAGCGATGGCGTCTGCAGCGAGCGCTCTGTCGGCTAGTGTTCGTGTGAATACGCCTCGCAGAATAATAGTAGTAGCAAAGAGAGCCGCCTTGAGTAGGTTCCACAACTGCGGAGTTGTCCTGTGAAGAGCGTCGTCTTCCAGGTTTGCTGCCTCCTCGGACGGCTCGATGTCTGAAAACTTGGTCTGTCGCCATTGTGTAGTAAGAGCGCGAGAAAAGCTTGCGAGGTCATCCATCATTGTTTGGATGATCCATGGGTTCTTGACGTTCTCGACAGCATGCGCGATTAGCCGTGATAGAGGACCCATAGATGATACCAGGGGCCTGTTCATGATACTTTCGACTTGTCTGTAAGAGCTGGAGTGTGGCTATGCATAGTCAGTATGCGTACACGCATGTATCAAATTCCGAAAAGACCTACACTCCAGTCCAGCTTCCCTGATTGCATTGTTCGTACGTCGAGATCCAGGCTCCCAAGGAAGTAGGCCGATTGGAAGCCTTCATTCGAGTAGTATGCTGTTCCGATGAGGACTGGAAGCAGCAGATCGTAATCAAGCTGTGTCCTTTCCACGTCTCCGATGCATCCGAAGGCATGGTTGAGCGTCAGTGTTATCGTCTGGCCTCCCAGTCCGTCTGCCTCGGAACGCTCCCTGACTTCTACCAGGGCGAGATTCGTCGCGCGCACCAATGCAGCCTCGACTCTCTTTCGTATAGCTGATGCCCAGTACAGGTCCATGCCTTGCTCTTCGAGGCTCCCAATACCGATCAGCAGGCCGGCGAGGACGACCAGGTGCTTCCATCGGCGGCTCCGGTCGTCGGCTCCCGCGACTACGGCGCGTATCCATTCGTCTAGCGAAAGGCCTCCTCCTATTGGCGTCTGTCCTGGCGCAAGCTTAGCTGCTTTGTTGTGCCGAACGTCGTTGTGGTGGTTGATGATGGTGGTGACGGCCGAGTGAAAGACGGAGAGCATGCGGAGAGGCGTCCGAACGCCATCGGGACGGTCCCATAGCGCGGGCGCGGTAAGGAGGTGCGAAGTAAGGAGGCTGAGGTTGTGGGGGTTGCCGAGCGTGGTGAGGAGTGAAGACGCGGTTCCCAGTAACCTGTAGTCATTAGCATGCGCATTGCGAATAGGGAGTCGAGATGCGTACCGCGGCGTGTCTTGCTGATCTGTGTATGTCTGGAGCGAGCGCAGCAGCGTGGATAGGAGGCGATCGACGACCATGATGACCTCGAGAAGCCCGCGACAGGCTACGGGAAGATGCGCATGGAGGTGTTGGAGATGCAATGGCTGGTGTTGATCACCGCTCGCGTCAGCCGAGGTTGCGCTAAGCTCGGGCTCTAGCCGTTGACATTCACTCGGAGATCGACGTCACAAGCATCAACTTCAAAACATCGGCTTCTGATATCGTATGATCCCGCGGTCCTCGTCCTACGCGCAGCAGTATACGGAGCGCCCCATAGCCATGCCGCATAGATGAGGTAAGCCCAACTGGACCCTTGTGCTCACAACGGTCTTCCCCCTGTATATAGCCCAACACTCACGTTCGCCTCAACACGTTCCCCACATCTTGGCCATGAACGTAGTTAACCGTATATTCCCCAGCTTTATTCAACGCGTCGACTCGGCGGTTCCGCTCGGCTACACCACGCCGCCCTTCCCCTCCCTCTACTGGCCTCTTCCCGCCGGCGCGACACAGTCCTTCTATCTATACCGTCCCGATGACATCTTCCGCTTCACCGTATACTGGACACTGCTGCTGGTCGGCGGCATCCACTTCATCACTGCGCTATGGGCGTGCATAGTGCAGTGGCGTAATTGGAAGCTGATATGGATAGCCCTGCCTGTCTTCAGCATCGTGGGAGGTGTTGAAGCACTTGTTGCGGGTGCAATTGTGGGCGGACTGTGAGTGGTACCTCTGGGAAGAGTCATATGGATCGCTTGCTGACTACCATCAGACTTGGAGGCGTATATCAGGCGGGCTACTTCGAAATGTCCACCTGGATACCTTTTGTCTGGGCCGTCATCAACACCTTGGTGCTCATATTGTCCTCGTTCGCCATCTACGGTGGACTCTGAATCCATGTCACGGACATATGCCCCGGATTCACTAGCATCGCATCCCAACGCATCCACAACCGAAGCCACGCCCTTGTATCTGTCCCTGCTGCCTCTGATTGGAGGGAAGGGCGTCTACATGGGCGGTTCACAGTCGACCATGCTGTGGCAGAGACAATTCGATGAGGACCAAGCAAATCTTGTCGCCCATGAGATTGTCGACTCCTGGTGGACAAATTCTCCAACCTTGAGCGTTTTTAACAGCTGGTGTGGCATCAATACCATCCTCCACATCCTCACCACAGCCATGATTTGAACATCACCCCGAGTACACTTCGCTGAATTGACGCGATGTGTAAACAACGCAAAAGACCGGCAGAACGACACGTATCCTTCAACTCACACGACTTGATACTGGTCTCCACATGGATAATGATTCAGAGGCTGCATGGTCAGGGACGCGACGTTGGGGTTTAGAAGGACATATATACGGTCGGTCCCCATCTTCCCCGCACAAAGCTTCGGGGTTTACGCGTTCTGTGGCACAAAGATAGAAAAGATGCCAGCTGTATCAGCGATGAACACAGGTCAGAGCGCGAAGCAGTCATGGGATAGCAGGGTCGTGGATAGGTATCATTACACCAGATTGTCACCGGTTCTAGCAGACCAAGGTTGGATTGTTGTCTAGATCATGTCTATATCCAAATCTATATATACAGCATAGTTCATTACTTTCATTACATCGTGACATCAATCCAGCCGCCTCATCCAGTATGTATCTTGAATCTCTGCTTCACTTGTTTTCTGCACATGGGACACTTCGTCGGCCGCACTGGTATATGGCCATGCTTCACCGGAACAACGACATCAGCGCACCACTGACACATGACCATATGTCCGCACGGCAATACAGCTACATCAGCAAGCTGCTGATAGCACACCTGGCACGCGAGTACCTTTGTCATTTCCGCGTCTGTCTTTGGCTCTGGCCGATCAGGCTGGCTGTCAAGCGACACGAGCGGTAGTTCTGGCTGCGGAGGGTCGACGCGTAAGAATGCGCGCGCTTCAGCGAACCTGTGCTGAAGGGGTGTCCTGCGCATGCCGGGCTCAAGGAGAGCCGTGGTGCGCAGATTAGATAGTATTTCGAGCGCCGACGCTACAGTTGCGGGTCTGGTTGACGCATCCGCACCGCCGGGCATTGCTAGTATTGTCTCTAGATCTAGGTCTGGGCGAGATACGTCGTTGTTGTCAAGGTTTGGCCGCCGGGGTGCATAACTCCAGACTTGGCTTTCTGGCTCTAGAGTCTCTGAAAATGACTGCGACTCTCGCATCACACCCCATAGCAGCTGTTCCTCTATTTCTCGTCGATCTTGCGGGGATAGACCATCG